TTTCGGCCTCTTGGGCCCAGTATCGGGCCTCGGGAACACCAGTAGCGGGCTGGAGCGAAAACCGACCCCAGGGAAGAGGTCGGTGCTTTCCTGGAGCCCCAGGAATTCCAAGAGCGGGTCCAGAGCGACCACCGACTCCCCAGGGAAGGGGTCGGTGTCTTCATGTGGCCATACTCCTCCCCGCGAAAAGGGTCGGGACCTCTGGGGCCGCTCATCGAGTCTTCAGTCGGGCACGTCCCTCTACGTGAGGAATATTCAAACATAGTCACACGAAACATCAGGGGATGTGTTTTTTGAGTATGTTTGGCTATTTTTGCGATTGTGTTCTAAGTTTCTGATTTTTGCTTATTTTTGAAGCATCATATTGTTTCGTGATTGTTTGACGTATTTTGGCCATTCTTTATCTGTTGTTTCCATTCTTTCTTGCACAATCCGCCTGCAGGGGGACCTGCCCGACCTCAAGCGAGGCCTCACCAGCGCTTCTCGTCGTTTCTGTGGGGGGGCCCTTCTGGGGAGGCTCCTCGTCGCCGGCCCTGGTTCGAGGTCCAACCTCTGGAAGAGAGACGCGGCCCGGGAGGCGCCCCGGGATGGGTCGGGGGGTCCGGTTGCGGGCTGGTGCGGGAGGGCTCGGCGCCCCTCCAACATTCGAGGAAGGAAACGAGCGCCATGAGCATCAACTTTTGGCGCTCCGCGCGGATTGCTTGGATCCGCGCTGGGCCCCCCTGGCGGCGCCTCCGGCGCCGCCCCTGGCGAGCGCCAAAAGTTTGTGTTCATGGCTTTGTTTGTTTTGTTTTGTTATTTTGTTGTTGTTGTTGTCGTCGTTGTTGTCGTTGTTGTCGTTGTTGTTGTAGTTGAACATTATTTATTCTACAGAATAATTATTGTTGGGCCCCCTGGTGCGCGCCCCCCCTGCGCCGCCTAGGCCGCAGCTACATTTTCATCATTTTCGTGAGGAAGCCTCAGAAAAGAGGGTGTGTACAGGATCCGGTTGTTTTGTTGTAATCCGCTTTCCCTTGCAAAAAACAATAGAAAATGACATTTCTTGTTCTAATATAATCAAATTTCAAGAATCCCTTGCAAAAAATAAGGTAAAGTGGACATTCGCGCGCGCAAGACGAAATCCTTCCAAAACCTTAGTGTTCGCAGCGATTTTAACATAAAAACATCAAAAAACCAATGGTTTTTCAACAAAAAATTGTCAAAATCTCATCCCGCGCGCTCTTGCGGATTCGTAGGAAACCCAACACTTTTTAAACATTTCTGTCAAACGGGCTTTTGCGAGCAACTTTTTCGAACTTCTGCGACAACGGTTGCGCACCTGCCAGGGCCATCATCCCTGTCAAATAATACCATGCGGGACACATTCGTTTTTTCTTCGCGCGCGCACGCCGTCGTCGTCGGCCGCGGGGCCCTGAATAGTAGCCACGGTCGTCCGCATGCCACGAAGTGAAGTGTCCGAACGTCATAGGGCGGGAAGCTGGGTGTGGGTGGTGGCGAAGAGTCGTTTGGAAATTTGGTAGAGCTTGAACCGGCCCCCCCACAAAGTGGGGGTATTGCCCGCCTCCTATGAAAACCCTGGCACTGGTGAGAACGGAGTGTCCCCACGTGTTAGTAATTGTTGTTGTTGTTGTTGTTGTTGTTGTTGTTGTGGTTGTTGTTGTTGTTGTTGTTGTTGTTGCTGTTGTTGTTGTTGTTGTGGTGGTGGTGGTGGTGGTTGTTGTTGTTGTTGTGGTTGTTGTTGTTGTGGTGGTGGTGGTGGTTGTTGTTGTTGTTGTTCTTGTTGTTGTGGTTAAAACCGTATTAATGCAATGTGTGCGTTGCCCCGCCAGGGGCCACGCGCGCACCGAGAAATCTTATGGTATGTTCGTCGTGGCGGGCGTTTTCTGGCCACACCGCTCGGGAAACGATGTCTTGCAAGATGGGTCTACATAGTACTGGTATGTCTCTGCGCGTCCCCAGAGCCGCCGTCGTCCCAGATGGGTCCTTCTCCGCGTGCCGGGCCGGGTCTCCTGGAGAAACGGCGCCCGATGCGCACGGAGTCCGTCGAGCTCAAGTGCTGCGAAACCTCCATCGAGGTTTCGAGCACTTTAGGCGGGGGCCCAGATGCGGGACGGGGAAATGACCACGGCCACTGCTTCTTGTTTGCGCCGCCTTCCAGCCGGCCGGAAAAGAAGCAGTGGTGGTGGTCTTTTTTCTGGTGCCACGCTCAACGAAAATGACCACAACCACTGTTTTGTTTCTGCGGGCTGGAAGGCGGCAACAAAAGAAAAGCAGTGGCTGTGGTCATTTTCGCGCCCCGTACCAGATCAATCCAGCGGGCCTGGATCAATCCAGATCGCCCCCTTCGAGCTCCACCGTAGCAGCGCGTTGCTCCCCCCCCCCCCCCGCAGGAGTGTCACTTGGCCGCGCGCAGCCTTCACATGCTGGGCCCCCGCCGGTGGTTCGGAAGTCTGGCCCGCAGGTGTAGGACTGAGTTGGGCATGTCCTCTACAGGATGAGTATCCAAGAAGTGAAAAAGTGCTCTTTTGATTATTTTGGCGTAGACATCCTAGAAGGGGTCGGAGTAGATGGGGTCGGAGGATAGCGCCGCATCGTCGATGCATCGTCGATGCGGCTCGATGTGGGGCCCGATTTGCTTCACGTCGACGTCGACGATGCATCGCCGACGTCAACGATGCATCGCTGGTGCATCACATATGCATCGCCGATGCATCGCCGATGTATCGGCGATGCGGCGCGATCCTTCGACCCCACCTACTCCTACCCCATCCAGGAGGCTCCTACTTTGATCATTTCTTTCACACAAGTTCCATCTTTCTTCCAAAATCCGCCTGTGGGAGGACATGCCCGACCTAAGAGTAGGGCCCACGTGCGGCTGCCGAGTGAAAGACGACGATTGAAACATGGCCCGGGGCGCCTGTCACGCAGCAGCGGCCTGGGCGAAGGTTGGTATACATTGCGTTCCGGGCCTCGTCGTAGGCGTCGCCGTGTCCTCGTTCAGGCGCTTAGACTTTCCTCTCCAAGAACCTTTCACAGCGGCCGAGGTAATTTTCCTCCATCATTCTCCTCAGTGTTTGTTGCTCATGCTGTCGCCCTCCATGCTCTGACTCTGGAAGCCCTGAACCAAGAAGCTGCTCGCAGGCGATGTTTCGTTTTCCATCTCCGAGTTCCGCCCGAAAGCAGGGGAAACCCCAGGACGTACCCTAGGGGGGCTATTCGGACGCACCCCATATTCAGGAGAGAAAGAAGGACGTACACGCACATGAATCCGTGTTGATTTCGAAACTACGCCTTGCGTGAATGTTCGTATCACGCGGCCGGTCTCGCGGATCGAGAAGCCGTGCTCATGTGCACAGTTGGGCGCGTACGTCTTTCTTTGCGGGCTCCCTGCACATCGAGGATGGGCGCTCCTCCCATCTGATATCCCAGGGCCCGCGCGGAAGGAGGAGGCGGCGGAGGGCGCTCGAGGGCGACGCGTGAGGGGGAGGAGGAGAAGGGGGGGGCGGAGGAGGAGGAGGAGGAGGAGGAGGTGGAGGAGGAGGAGGAGGAGCACCAGGAGTTTGCGTCCCACCTTGGAAGCCCCCCGACGCCCGGGGCAGGGGCCGGCGCCTCCCCTCCTGGTCGCCTCCTCCTCCTCCTCCTCCTCCCCCTTCTCCTCCTCCTCCTCCTCCTCCTCCTCCTCCTCCCCCTTCTCCTCCTCCTCCTCCTCCTCCCCGCCTCCTGGAGGCGCGTGCTCTCCTCCGCTGGCCTTGCCGAGCACGCCCTCTCGCTGCCGCCCCCCTCCGCCTGCCTGCCGCCGGCCTGCCGCCGCCCTCCGCCCGAGGAGGGGAGAGCACGGGCTCTCCGAGGGAGGTCGCGCGCAGCCGCGCGCGCGTTGGGGGCACCTTTGCGATGCTGGTCTTCAGTCGGGCCTGTCCCTCTATAGGAGGAATATGGAAAAACAGGAACAACAATAGTCGGGGGTTGTTTTTTTGACTATTCTTGAGCATTGCGGGCGTCTTTTCTGAGCATTTTCTAGGTTTCGCCCAAAATCCCCCCGTCGGGGGACACGCCCGACTTAATGCTGGTCTTTCCCCGCACATCTCGTGGGGGTCTGGCTTTGTTCCCCTCCGCGTCGCACCCGCGTTCGCTGACGCCCGCCCTCCTCCCCTCCTCCTCCTTTCCTCTTCCTCCTCCTCCTTCTCTTCCTCCTCCTCCTCCTTTCCTCCTTCCTCCTCCTCTTCCTCCTCCGCCGAGGTATCAGATCGAGTTCGGTCTTCGGGGAGGGTCGCCCAATGCTTTTCGTGCCTGTGGGATGCTCCTGTGCATCCTGGGGGGGTGGCGCTCGGCTGTTCTGTATGTCTGTGTTTTTTGCCGGCGGAGGGTTCCATGCTCTCGAGGGAGGCTCTTCTGTCCTGGGCGCGACTGTATCGAGAAGGCCTTGCGCCCGATGCCGTCGACCCAGAAGACGACGACGCTGACCACGGCGAGGTAGAAGGATGAAGAGGAGGAGGAGGAGGAGGAGGAGGCGGAGGAGGATGAGGAGGGGCCGCATGAAGAGGAGGCGGAGGAGGACGCAGAGGATGCGGAGGAGATGAATACATATGAGGAGGAGTAGGAGTAGGAGTAGGAGTAGGAGTAGGAGTGGGAGTAGGAGTAGGAGTAGTAGTAGTAGTAGTAGGAGGAGGAGGAGGAGGGAGGAGGAGGAGGAGGAGGAGGAGGAGGAGGAGGAGGAGGAGGAGGAGGAGGAGGAGGAGGAGGAGCAGGAGGAGCAGGAGGCCGAGGAGAGAGAAATAGGAGGAGGAGGAGGAGGAGGAGGAGGAGGAGGCGGGGAGGAGGAGGAGGGAGGAGGAGGGGAGGAGGAGGGGAGGAGGAGGAGGAGGAGGAGGAGGAGGAGGAGGAGGAGGAGGAGAGATGGTTATGACGAGGAGGAGGTGAAGAACTGTGCTTCCCGAAGACGAGGCACTTGCTTGCACGCCTCCCGCAGGTGGGGCCTGCGGCCGCGGCGCGACGCGTCGGAGGCGGACCCCTGGGGCAGGCGTTGGGCGCCGCGGGAGGTGCCCGCGGCCAGGGCGCTCTGGGCCCTGGCGCTGGCGGGCATGCTCGCCCACGCATGCCGCGCGCTGGCCGCCGGAAGCGCGGGGGGGAACGACGACGTCGGGGCTCAAGATACGAATCAGAAAAGCAATATTATAATAGTAATAATAATAAGAATACTTGAGAATAAGAAGACGGGGTCAGTGCAGACGTGGGTCAGCCAGGGCTTCTAGATCTGGCAGGATCCTGCAGGGGCCAGGGTCGCACTTACCCGGGCTTGGGTCCAGGATCCTGCAGGATGTCCTGCAGGGTCCTTCGCGCTGACCCGGGGTTGGCGTGCAGGATCCTGCAGGATCTTGCCGGATCCTGCAAGGCCTGACTGTCCGAGTCTAGATTGACCCCCTGGAGGGTTTCTCCGAAGGGCTTGGGCGACCCCTCCTCCTCCTCCTCTCCTCCTCCTCCTCCTCCTCCTCCTCCTCCTCCTCCTCCTCCTCCCCATGCTCCTCCTTCTCCCCTCCTCCTCCTCCTCGCCCTCCTCGCCCTCCTCCTCCTCCACCTCCTCCGCCACCTCCTCCTCCCCGCCTCCTCCTCCTCCTCTCCTCCTCCTCCTCCTCCTCCTCCTCCTATTTCTCCTCCTCGGCCTCCTGCTCCTGCTCCTGCTCCTCCTCTCCTCCTCCTCCTCCCCTCCTCCTCCTCCCCCTGCTCCTCCTCCTCCTCGCCCTCCTCCTCCTCGCCCTCCTCCTCCTCCTCCGCCTCCTCCTCCTCCTCGCCCTCCTCCTCCTCCTCCTCCTCCTCCTCCTCCTCCTCCTCGCCCTCCCCTCCCCGGGTTGCCTGCGGCCCCGGGGAAGACCTTTGCGCCGCGGCCCAGGGCATCGACGAGCTTCTTCGGGGGCCTCGGCGGGCGGCGGCTGTGGACATGCTCGGGCCCCAGGGGGGAGGCCAAGCACGGATCCATATCCTGAAGCCGGGCATGTCCCCCTACAGGAGGAGTATTCAAAACAGTTTAAACAAACATCTCTCTTTCTCTCTCTCTCTCTCTCTCTCTCTCTCTCTCTCTCTCTCTTTCTCTCTATATATATATGTATGTATATGGTTTTGTGTCATATATATATATATATGTTCCAAAATCTGCCTGTCGGCGGACATGCCCGACCTAGCCATATCCACCGCCTGCCGGGGCCCCGGAAGCTCGATCCCCCTGGCCGTTAGTTGTGGAGTCCCCCCCTTGCAGCAAGCCTGGACGGGAGGCCACGCGGGGGGAGCAAAAACGGGGAGTGAAGCGAGGCGCACCTTCCCGTGACATCGTTCGGTTTTTTGGCTTTTTCGTCTGTCCTGGGTGGTTTGCCAGTATCGGGGTGCTCTCCAGCGGCTGCGCCTCGCCGAGGGTCGTCTGGGGCTACCCGGATCGTCCCGACCGGCCGCTGGGGGGCCGAGTTAATCATGACCCGAAGCCAGGGCGCAACGTTTGGGGAGGGGGGGGCAGGCTCAGGGGAGAATGCATCGACCCCAGATCGCCCACTCATCGTCGATAGGGGCCTGGTAATCCACCCTGGATTCACAAGCGCGGACGTTTCGCCAATATATCAGCGATGTATGGCCGATTCCGGTTCAATGTTACCCCCCCTCAACCCGTCCCCCCCTACCCAGCACTCTGTGGAGCCGCAGTGACAGTTCGGGGGCCCTGGGGGCTCCCTTCGGCCACCTTTGCAACTCTCGACCGACCCCCTGCTTACTCTCCCCTCCGTTTATTGCCCTACTGTGCGCTCTTAGACCTCCGTGCGGACCTTTGGCCCCTGCGCGTGCACCCGCCTGGCGACGCCTCTGGCGCCGCCAGGGGCGCCCGCGCCGATCAAAGATCTCCGCGCGGCCCCCCGCAAGTGCATGCTTCGGGTAGGCTCCTGTGACTCAGGAGGGGAAAAACACACAGACACAATTAATCGTCGATCCCCAAGAAAATATGGAAAAATATGGGAATTGGGCGGGAAGACAAAAACCCAGAAAATATGAGAAAATATATAGGAAAACATAGGGAATCATTTTATTGGTGTGTATTTATTTGTGTGTCCTTGGGCCCCTTGAGTGACGCTGGCGCGCGCGGGCGTCGCCGGCGAAGGCGTTCAAGGTGGAACACCGCGACGCGGAAGCACCGAGGGACACGGTGCGCCACAGGGACCGACGGAATTCGGCTCTGGACGATCGGGGCCGCGATCGGCTCGAGGCTGAACGGTCGACGCGGCGCCAGCGACCTTTGCGCGTGCCGGCGCCGCACGGAGCCTGCTGTGTGCTGTCTGTTCTCTTCTCCTACAGGAGCGCTCGCCGATTGGGCCCTGACTGCAGCCATAGCTCCGGTGATGCTCGCCGGATACATCACGCCCCGGATCCGGTGCATGACGCTGATCACCGTGGGCTGCGGCGCCGCGGTGGCCGCTTCCGCGCTGGCGGGCGGCTCTCTCGACGTCGCCCTGGTGGTGCTGTGCCTGGCGTGCTTGGCGCTGCGGGTGCAGATCGAGGCCTGCCTATCCCGAGGAAGGAAGAAGGTGCGTAGCCAGGAGCTTTGGGAGCGCCGCGCGGGTTTCTTGGGTCGACGCTGGGCGTCCCCTGCGGCGCCTCCAGCGCCGCCCCTTGCGCGCGCAGCTCGCCAGGGAGGGTGGCCCAGCGCCGATCCCTGAAATCCCCGCCGAGCTCCAAACGGTTATGTTTATGCAGCTGCTTGCTCCTTGACTATCGCTGAAGACGCTCTACTTGCAAGAGCTCCGCATGTCGAGCAGGGCGTATCACTTTTACGCCCTGCTGACGTGCATGTTGCCGCCGCCGCTGGCGCGCCGCTATTTCAAGCACTGCCTGGGGCTCCCCAGCGCCACAGACGCCAGGGGCATCCGCGTGTGCATGGGTGAGCGGGTCTCGCAGTGCGGGGTGCTCTTCCTTGCCATCCACGACTTCGACCTGCTTGTTGCGGGGGGCTCGCAGCGTGCGATCGTTAGGTTTCTGAACCAGTTCTTCTCCTCCCTCGACAGAGCCTGCGACGATGCCGGCCCCGAGGTGATGAAGGTCGGGGCCTTTGGCGAGGTGTACGTGGTCGCCTGTGGCCTCTTCCCCCGCGACAGTGACGCTGGGCCGAGGGACTTCGACGAGGGAGACGCCGAGGCTGGGGGATCAAGATGATACAGGCACTGCTGGGCCCATTTTCCACCGCCACTACCATAGGTAGGAGAGGGAGGAGGAGGAGAAGGAGGAGGAGGAGGAGGAGGAGGAGGAGGAGGAGGAGGACCTCCTCACCCTTCCTTCTCCCCCGTCCTACATATATGGCAGCGGTGGTGGAATGCTGGCCCATCAGACACCGCGACCCCCTCGGCCTCTGACGGGGTGCGCTGCCGCTACCCTGGCGAGGCGAGCCCCGCCGCGGCGGCGTGGGCTCACCCGGAGGCCCACGGAGACAGAGGCATGGCAACGACGCCGGCACGTTGGGCACCCCCGATGAGAAGCCAGCCTGCCAGCGGGTGCCCCACGGACATCTCTTACGCCCCGACGGGCCCCCGGCAAGAGAGGAGGAGGAGGAGGAGGAGGAGGAGGAGGAGGAGGAGGAGGAGGAGGAGGAGGAGGAGGAGGAGGAGGAGGAGGAGGAGGAGGAGGAGGAGGAGGAGGAGGAGGAGGAGGAGGAGGAGGAGGAGGAGGAGGAGGAGGAGGAGGAGGAGGAGGAGGAGGAGGGAGGGCGGAGGAGGAGGAGGAGAAGGAGGGGGAGGAGGAGGAAGAGGGCGACCCGCGTGGAGTTCAATGGGGGCACCCCGCGAGATCCAGTGCAGATCGAGCGGCGCGCCCCCTGGCCGCTGGAGCAGGCTTCAGGTCGATCCGATCGATCCGAGCCGATGCCAATTCCGGCCGGCCGGATCCGGTCTGATTCCGATTTGCCGGCGATCCCATGCGTCCCGATGCTTACACGGCGAAGTCGTGCATCCCGGCGCGGCCGATCTGACCCGATGTCCGACTCCCGGCCGATGCAGCCGCATCCGATGCACGTGCCGCTCCCGGCCGGATCTGATGCACGTGCTGTTCCGATCTCATTCCTGAATGCGATGTTGACTGATGCTGATTGGAGTTCTACGAAGAAGATTCCTTGGCGTGGGTATTTGCTGTATCGTTGGCAGCGCACAAGAAGGGGTGGCGAAAGGGGGGCGGCCTTCTAAGCAGGCGGGGGAGCTTCCAAGCAGACAGGAGCCTTGTAAGAAGGGCCTGTGACGAGCGATCGACACACACAAACACAACCAAACACACAAACACAAACACACACATGCACACACACATTCACACACATTCGCACACACACATTCACACACACACATTCACACACATTCTTACACCACTCATTCACTGACATTCACACATTCACACACATTCGCACACATTCGTACACACACACACACTTTCACACCCACTCACACACATTCACACACATTCACACACACATTCACACACACTCACACACATTCAAACCCATTCGCACATTCACACACATTCGCGCACATTCGCACACACCACTATACACCACCACACACACACACACGCACCCATAACAACCCCATGGTGGGGACGGACGGGGCTCTGGGCGCGTGCTGTCGGATGGGGGGCCCCGCTCGAACGGGAGCCTCCCCAAGGGCTCCAACAACTGGCACCCGTACCCACAGAGCCAGTCCTCCGCCTCCGAAGTTCCCTGCGCGTATGGGTGCGTGCTGTTCGTGCGTCAGGCCTGGGGGCCTTCAAGAAGAAGGCCTCTAAGAGGCTGGGGCGGCTACAACCTGCACCCACAGCCAATGACAGCCCTCCTTCTTCAAGCGCGCGTTTTTTTGCTGCGACACCCCGGATCTCACCCCAGACCCCCGACGTCATATTCGGGGGTGGACAGAACCCCCAACAGTGACACGTCGATTAGTGAATTGTCCGTTGTCGGTTCTCGAGAGGGCGCCGTGGCCGTTATTTTCCAGGCTTGCGCCCGCCAGGTTTGGGCCTCAGGTCGTTTTCACTGAACCACGTTTTACTAAAGGGGGGTCTGTCCATCCCCGACATACTGATTTTACGACGGGCCCCCCTGGGTCCTCAGAGGCTTAGACCACTCCCCTTGGCTTACAGACAGCAGTTTCGCATCACGAGTCGTTTTTGGTACGGTCGGGGTCTTGGCCAGGGCCACCAGAAACCGAAGAGTGCCAAAAGCTTTCCCCGTCGCGAGAGTGTCGTCACGACGCGAGGGGGTCTGGTCTTGAGTCGGGCACGTCCCTGTACAGGAGGAATCTTCAAACATAGTAGGACAATAGTCTGGGGTCGGGTGTTTTGAGTATTTTTAAGCAGCATCTTCTTTAAGCATGGTTTTTCTTTCTCATTTCTCGTCCAACATCCGCCTGCAGGGGGGCACGCCCGACCTATGTCTGGTCTGGGACTGAGGGTCCCCCCACCCCACCTGGCAGAGCCGGGCAGCTTACCAGCCTGGAACATATCCCTAACCCTATGCTGGGCACCTCCTCATCACGATGGCAATCTTAGGGATTCCCTTATTTTGTGAGGGCGAATCCCCAAGATTGTCATCGCCTTTTGGCGTGTCAATCTTAGGTATAGGGATACGTTCGAGGCTGGTAAGCAGCGGCAAGGAGGGGCACCGCTCTGGAGGAGGGGTCGGCCGTTCCTCCCGAAGAGCGGGGTTCGGGGATCGAGGCTCGGGCACCACTGCTCTAAGCTTCCCAGATGGGCTCCAAGGAGGAGGAGGAGGAGGAGGAGGAGGAGGAGGAGGAGGAGGAGGAGGGAGGAGGAGGAGGAGAGGAGGAGGAGGAGGAGGAGGAGGAGGAGGAGGAGGAGGAGGAGGGAGGAGGAGGAGGAGGAGGAGGAGAGGAGGAGGAGGAGGAGGAGGAGGGAGGAGGAGGAGGAGGAGGAGGAGGAGGAGGACGACGAGGAGGAGGAGGGAGGAGAGAGGAGGAGGGAGGGAGGAGGAGGAGGAGGAGGAGGAGGAGGAGGAGGAGGAGGAGGAGGAGGAGGAGGACGACGAGGGGGAGGAGCAGGAGGAGGAGGAGCGCCGAGGGGGGGTAATCCTAGGCCTTCTGGATGGGGCCGGAGTAGATGGGGTCGGATGATCGCGCCGCATCGCCGATGCATCGGCGATGCGGCTTGATGTGGAGAGCCCGATTTTTTCCATGCCGACGTCGCCGAGGCATCGCCGACGTCGCTGGTGCATCGCCGACGCATCGGGAATGCATCGGCGATGCGGCGCGCTGCTCCGATCCCATCTGCACGGGCCCCATCTAGGAGGCCTCTAACTATTGGGGGGGTTACTGGTTCCCCTCGCCCTCGTGGGGATGGAGGCTCCAGGATGTTGTGAAGGCTCGAGGTGCCGTTTAGTTGGCGTGGAGCGTGGTTTGGCGGGCTCTGGAGAGTTCGGGGGGGGGGGGGGGGCATTCCTCGAGGACAGAGCGTCGCCTCGAGGAAGTGGCGACCCCCCTAATTACAGTGGGAGCCCCTGCCAAGAATCACCACCGTACACCCTACGTTTTGCCACGGCACCCTGGGTGCCTTTGGTCTGTGTTCGGATGGAAGGCTTGCAGCGGTGGCTGAGAAGCCGTCAGCCGGCAGGGTACCCTGAGTGCCCTGACGATGAGGTTGGTCACGCGAGCCATTACAAGATACCGCCCAGCCCAGGGTGCCCCGAGTTTCGTCGCCTGTAGCCGCCAGGCAAGAAACCCAACCCTGGCCCCAGAAACTTCAGCGATCTTCAGGGTTGGGTTTCTTGCGTGTGTGTCTCGCAACTCGCCACTCGTACCGTGTTCAATACGTCTGTGCTGTTACGCTGCGCGTTGGCTCAACGTATTGGCCCAACGTACGGCGCGAGCATGTCTGGGTGTCAACGCTGCGGACTGCGTGCTGCGTATCGGGGCATCCGAGTCGTGGACGTAAGTCGGGCCTGGTCCGTCACAGGGGGACTTTGGACGAAGAATAAGTTGTAGTCAAACAGTGCCCCCAATTGGTCAGACAATACTAAAGAGAATCGTCCCCGGATTATTTGTTTTGCTATCTTTGAGTCGTCCTCCTGAAGAGGGGCACGCCCGACGGAATCGCGGACGGGCCTCTGGCTGTGGCGGTGGCCCCCGGTGGCTCTGCCGGCCAGAGGCCGGGAGGGAAGACTGGATACGGACACCGCGCATCGCCGCTTCCACGGAGTGTCGGGGACCATCGGGGAAGTTCTAGGCCTCCTAGATGGGGTCGGAGCAGATGGGGTCGGAGGATCGCGCCGCATCGCCGATGCATCGGCGATGCGGCTCGATGTGGAGCCCGATTCTCTTTGCGCTGGTGTCGACGATGTACCGCCGACATCGCCGATGCATCGCCGGTGCATCGCCGATACATCGCCGATGCATCGCCGATGCATCGCCGATGTATCGGCGATGCGGTGCGATCCTCCGACCCCATCTGCTCCGACCCCATCTAGGAGGCCTCTAGAAGTGGGGACAATCGGGGAAGTGGGGAAGCTTCTGATCATGGCGGTTCAAAAAAAACATGCGAATTCAATGTGTGCGCCCCCCCCCCCCAGGGGCGACGCGCGCACCGAGCAGTCTTCCAGTATGTGCGTCGTGGCGGGCGCTTTCTGGCCACGCCGCTCGGGAAACGGTATACTGTATACTACAAGATGGGTATACTATATGTTCGGGCCGGACGCACGCCTCCAAGGCGGACATCTAGTATTAGAATGTTGCTGTGCGCCCCATGGGGGGGGGGAAGACGAACACCCAGGGAACCTGGAAGACGTGGAGAATCCTGGGCTTCGTGCCTGCTGGTCTGTGTGTCCCTGGGCTTCCGTCGGGCCTGTCCCCCTACAGGGGGATTTTCGACGAAAAATGAAAAATACTTTAAACATGCCCCAAAAAGGTCAAACAAATATTCATAAAATAGTCCCCAGACAATTTTTTGCATATTTTTGGTGCATGTTTTACCTAACAGCTCTTGCTGATAGGTTTCTAGTGGTCTCAAAAGAGAGCATCATGACTCCTCAGGGGGGTCGGGGCGGGACCCGGGGCGGGACCCGGCGCGGCTGCCGCCGCACTCGTTTTTCGCAAACAGTCAAACACTTCGTGCTCTTCGACCTCCCAGAACTCCATTCCCGGGCCACATTCTGAATGCCCGGAGCCAACTGTAGGCCACTTCGTGCTCTTCGACTTCCCAGAACTCCATTCCCGGGCCACATTTTGGATGCCCGGAGCCAACTGTAGGCCACTTCGTGCTCTTCGACTTCCCAGAACTCCATTCCCGGGCCACATTTTGGATGCCCGGAGCCAACTGTAGGCCACTTCGTGCTCTTCGAGTTCCCAGAACTCCATTCCTGGGCATGATTTTGAATGCCCGGAGCCAACTGTAGGCCACTTCGTGTTCTTCTAGTTCCCAGAACTCCATTCCTGGGCCACATTTTGAATGCTGAGGCAGGCTGATGCTGCGGCCGAGGCAGGCTGAGGCTGAGGCAGGCTGAGGCTGAGGCCGAGGCTGAAGGCAGACTGAGGCTGAGGCTGAAGCAGACTGAGGCTGAGGCTGAGGCAGGCTGAGGCTGAGGCTGAGCAGGCTGATGCTGAGGCAGGCTGAGGCTGAGGCTGAGGCTGATGCAGGCTGAGGCTGAGGCAGGCTGAGGCTGAGGCCGAGGCTGAAGGCAGACTGAGGCTGAGGCTGAAGCAGGCTGAGGCTGAGGCTGAGGCAGGCTGAGGCTGAGGCAGGCTGAGGCTGAGGCTGAGGCAGGCTGAGGCTGAGGCTGTGACTGCGACTGCCGTTGCCGCTGCGACTGTCATCGCGAATGCGACTACGACTGCGAGAACAGCAGAATTCTACAACTGGATTTTCATCTGAATCTTAAGGGGAATGCTTCCAGATATGCTTCTACACATCGCTGTTAGGTTGCTTTTCCGGGATAATTATTTTTCGTCGAAAATCCCCTTGTAGGGGGACGCGCCCGACATAACCTTGGGCCCCTTCGCAGAGGCGCGGCGCCTGCCCCGGCAGATGGCGACCCTCGCCCGCCTGGCGCGCACGGCCCACGGGCTGGCGGGGCAGTTCCCGGTGCAGCTGCGCGCCGGGCTGCACTGCGGCCCCGCCGTCGCCGGCACCTTGCGGGCGGCATACCCTCGGAGGATCCTCTGACGAACCAACAACACACACCCATACCCATAGGGGGTCGGAGAGGGCTACGGGTGCGTGTTGTCGGATGGGGGTCCCCGCTCGAGCGGGAGCGTTCCCCAGGGTCCGACAACCCGCAGCCATACCCATAGCCAGTCCTCATCTCAACGACCCCCCTATGTGTATGGGTGTGTGTTGCTCGTTCGTCAGAGGAGGAGAAGGTACGGTCGGTTCGCGTCGTGTCGACCCGCGGCGGCCCCGCCGCGGGTGTTCAACGCTCAACGTCGCCGGCGACCGAGAATCGGGCGATGTTGAACGATCCCGACGTTTCGGGAATGGCCGATCTTTCAGGGTTGAGCGATCCCCGCGATGTCGGGCACCAACGCCGATGTCGGCACGACGTGAACCTGCCCGTACCCATGTCTCTACCAATTAGCCCGTCTTCTTCTTCAGGGGCCTCCTGGGAGGCCCTCGTCGCCACCGCTGGATTCGCCTCGAACTCCTTGTCAGAACGCGCCCTGGGAGAGGTCGGGGGAGTAGCTGTATCGGTACCCTGTGGCTTCCCCGAGACATTCGGGCGTTGCGCAATGGGGGGGGACACCTGGAGGGGTGAACGAAAGGTGTCCGTTCTCCAGGGCTCAGGCTGAGCAGTGCTTGTCGTTATTCCGTGTTGTTCTCGTTTCCTTCTTTCTGCCTTCGTGCTGCCTCTTTTGCTGCCAAGCGGAATCAAGACGAAGACGGTCCACGAAATCGCCCAAACACCGTTTCGCGCCAACCCTGGGTGAGTCGGCCATGCGTAAGGGGGGGTATGGTATGGTATGGGGAGGGGGGAAGGCTTCTTAGAAGCAGCCCTGCTTCTGACAAGGCGCGGGCTTTGTCCGTAGATGTATGGCCAGCGCCTTCTTTGAAAGAGGCAGCCCTCTTCTAAGAAGCCTATCCCCCTCCACCTACCCCCTCGTGCGCGCCGCCGAGTGAGGGAAATGTGCCCCTTTCGTGCACCTCAGGGGCCCTGAGGGGGCCCATCTGGGGCCCAAAAGTGGCACGGAAGTTGCAGGTTTCCGTGCCCCCTGTTAATCGCACCCCACTGAGTAACGTTATGTCGGGCGTGTCCCTCTACAGGAGGAATCTTCAAACATATGTTTAAAACAATTCAGGGACGATGTTTCGACTATTTTCGTATATTTTTGAATCTGTTTTGACCATTTGGGATTTTCCATCCAAAATCCTCCTGTAGGAGGACATGTCCGACCTAAGGGTAACGCCCAAGACTCACCCTGAGACTCGGGCGTTGCAGTTGTTGCGCGATGGGCTTCGGGCCCCTGGACCATCACAGATCGATCTGGCTCGAAGAAGTCAGCAAACCGAAGGGTTCTGTGGCTCTAACCCTTGGCGATGTTGCAGTTGTGCCGCAGTTGTTGATCTTAGGCAGATCTCCGAGAATTTGACGTGTCTCTAGATCTCCGACGATGTACTTTTCCAACCTGGGCTTGGTGCTCCTCGATTCCAACATCCGGGGCCCACTAGCGGGCACGGGGACCATCAAACACGGCTCCGGGGCGAAGAACTTGTCCCAGGGAAGGCGTGCGTGCCGCCGGCCGTGAGGAGAAATCAGGGCGGAAGGCTTGACAATGCTTGGCCCAGGGGGGCCCTCACCCAGGCGTTGGGCCCGTCCGAGGTCTGCTCATGATGGGAACGGGACCCCGGGCAGGGTTCCAGCCCTCCAGGGTCGGCGTCGCCAAACAAAAACGTGACGTCGGTGGTCTGGGGACGCGCCCCCTCAGAGGAGGAAAGGGTGCCGTAGGCTCGTGTCGTGTCGACGCGGCGGCCAGGCCAGCGTGGGCTTTCAGGGCTGAGCGCTGCCAGTGGTCCAGAGCCGGCCGATATGGCACCGTCTGCGCTATCGGAGAGGCGTGCTGATAAACGATCCGCGCGGTGTCAGAATCCAGCGGCGACGTCGTAACGATGTGAGCTGGCCGTGCCCGTACCGCTGCTGGTCGTAGAGAGCCTCCGTTACCACGGCTGGATTCGCTTCGAGCTTCTGGTCAGAACTCGCTCCGGGAGAGGTCCGAGGAGTAGCGGCGTCGGTATTTCTATGGCCCCCCGTGCATATCCGCAGCCTCGCGTTCTGGACCCCGGACCCTTCGGCTGCGACCCCATGGACGCAGGCCGGCCCTGCGCGGAAGTCCCGCCTGGAGCTCACACGGGCGATCGCGCAGCCCTGGTGTCGCGCCTCGAGGTCCAGACCGCGAGGGCCCGGGCCCGGGCCTCCGGCGCCGAGACGCCTTGTCACGGCTTGGACCCCCCCCCCCCCGGAGGTCTGCATAGGGGGCCACATGCGAACCCTATCGCTATCGCTATCGCTATCGGCTCGATGTCCAGTTGGACGCAGCCGTCCGCGCGGCCGAAGCTACGCGCGCGCGCCCGAGGCGCGTGGGGGGGGGTCACCCCCCGACACATGCTCCCGCCAGAGGGGCGGGGGCCGAACAGGACCGAGAAAACGGGCCCAGGAGTTTCGGGGACGAGGAAGGAGGAAGAGGGGGCGAACCCTATACCCCTCCCCCCCACGATTTCTGCGGGGGGTTAGGGGTAGGGTTCGCGTGTGGCCCCCTATTGCAAGCCACCTCCGCAGGACCGGCCTGCCCTCCCGCGTCGGTGTGTGGCTGCCCCCCCCGGGGCTCCGCGGGGGGGCCGCGGGAGGCCAGGGCGGGCGGGGGCAGGCCTCTGGGGCTTTCTCTGTGGCTGTCGCCGCGGCGTGCGGAGGGCTCGGGGCATGGTATGTGTGCGCGTCGCTCTCCCAGGCATCGTGGGGGACCTCCTGCCGCGCTTCCAGGTCTTGGGCGACACCGTGACCATGAGGATGCTGTGGATGCTGCTGCTGCTGCTGATGGTGATGGTGATGGTGATGGTGATGGTGATGGTGATGGTGATGGTGATGGTGATGATGCTGCTGCTGCTGCTGATGATGATGATGATGATGATGATGATGATCATGATGCTGGTGACGAAGACGGTGATGATGATGGTGGGTGATGACGATGATGATGATGATGATGATGATGATGATGATGATGATGATGATGATGATGATGATCATCATGTTCTTCATGATAGTGATTTGTTATGGTGGTGTGGAGGATGTCGAACATGATGTCATGATGTTGCTGTTGCTGGTGACGCCGACGACCGTTACGAGTATGATGAAGATAAGTAGCATATATTGATGCTTATTGTGATGGTGCTTACTGTTGCGATGGTGATGATGCTGATGATGATGAGGATGATGCTAATGGTGGCGATGATTATGTTTCTGGTAATGATAATGCTGATGATGCTGACGATGATGATGACGATGATGCTGCTGCTGATGATGATGCTGCTGATGATGATGACGATGATGATGACGATGCTGCTGCAGATGATGATGCGGTTGTTGTGGTGGTACTGTAGTTGGAGGAGGTGGTTGTGGTGGTGGTGGTTTTGATGATGATGATGATGATGCTGATGATGATGATGATGATGATGATGATGATGATGATGATGATGATGATGACAACGATGCCCCCCCACCCACACACACACCTTGGCGCACGGCGCCACACCTCCGCGTGGATGGGGCCGCTGGGCGCCCTCCCCGCGGGGGGCGCGACGGCCCAGGCGGGGCCAGCTCACCCTCGGGCGCGCGACCCTCGGCAGGGGGCCAGCCGACGAGGGGCGCGCCAGCGCGAAGACCTTTTTTTTCTTGGCCCTGCTACCACCCCGCACTGCAGTGTGAAAAGCTTCAACCAGAGCCCTCGATCCCAACCTTCTGCAGCATCTCCCGAGCCAGATCGATCCCCGAGGGCCCCGGAGCTCCCGGCGCTGGGCCGAAGCGCCTGGGGCCTTGGCGTACACACGCTACGACGCCCAGATATCCCTTGCCTAGCTGCCTCGATACGCTCGTGCTGATGCGCAGCACGTACCGTTCCCAAAACATCCATGTCAAGACGTTGCGTGTTGGCTCAATGTATTGGACCACGTTTTGGCGAAGGTATCGCGTCAGACCTACGTTTTCAGTCTGCGTGTTCAGCTCCGTATCAATACGCTACGTGTTGCGTGCTGCGTATCGGGGCAGCTAAGATCCCCTGACATCTGACAATGTGGTTTTTCAGGCCGCGGCCCCAGAGGTCCCAGCCACTTCCCTGGGGCTGGCTTTTCGTCCCGCATCCCTGGTGCACTGAATGCCCAGACAGCACGACGTGACGGAAACAACCGTGCCGTCGGGCATCTGGGGATCAGGGGCCCCCTTGTCGGCGCCTCGCCGAGGGGGAGGCGAGAAGAGGCGGGCCTTCGCAGAAGGCTGCGGGGCTTCAGGAGGCCTTCTGGGCCTTCTGACAGGGCCTGCTCCTTCGGTCTTCCCCCCTGGGCGCGCCGCCGACGGCTGCTCTGGCCTCTCCGCCAGCGCTTCGGTAGCGTACTCAGGAGGGGGGTCGGGCCGTCTTAGGGTCACGGGTACTTCTTTTGCCAACGGGCCGAGAATTGAGAATTGCCGGCTGTGTCATGGGCGTTTCAGGGAGGTTGGTCCTTGCGGCGAGCGGCGCCCAGGAATCAGGAACCCGGGAGGGGCCCACGCGGGCGGGTGGGTCCCCGCTGCGAGCGGAATCCAGGAGTCAACGGTCGCCATCTCCGTGCTGGGGCCGCGGGGGAGGGTGGTTCCCTGTTGCGAGCGGCACCCAGAAATCCAGGGTCGCGGCCATCTGTAATTCAGCATTCTATTATTATTTCTATTACCTACCGCCTTCTATCTGTGATCACTATCTACATCCAGTGTCCATTACTACCATCATCTACTCTCGGCTAGTATTACTAATTACTGATCGTACGTGCTACGGCTGGTATTGTGACTGCTACGGTTATTACGGCTACTATTTACATTATTGTTGCCTGTACTCTTTCTATTACGGCTTCTCTTACAACTATTACGGCTACTACTACTACTACTACTACTACTACGACTGCTGTACTACTACTACTACTACTACTACTACTACTACTACTACTACTACTCCTACTACTACTCCTACTACTACTACTACTGCTACTACTACTATTACTACTACTACTACTACTAGTCCTACTACTACTAGTCCTACTACTACTACTGCTAATACCGTTACTATAAGTATTACCATTACGACTGCCACTACGACTACTACCACTACTATTGCTAACATGGTGACTATAAGTAGTAGTAGTCGTAGTAGTAGTAGTAGTAGTAGTAATAGTAGTAGTAGTAGTAGTAGTAGCAGTAGTAGTAGTAGTACTGCTGCTACTACTAGTACGGTTGCAAGTACTCCTGCTACTCCTGCTAATACAACGACTACTGTTACGGCGGCGATTGCTATTACGACCAGTATTCTCCCTACCACTACTTATCGTATTACTACTACGAGTACACCTACTACAAGTACTACTACTATTATTATCACCATACGATTGCGACAATAACTAGCACTACTACTACTACTTCTTCTTCTACTACTACTACTACCACTACTACTACTGCCGACGAGTACTAACTTTACTACCATCATGTGTGTTGCAATCGCTATGCGTGCCACTGCTGCTACCACTACACCCAACTGCCAGTTCTACTAATACTCTTACGGCTCCCGCGACTGCTGCGGCCACTTCTCCGGCTATTTCTAGGGCTACTGCTATTGCTATGGCTGCTGATTCTGCTGCCACAACTACCTCTATTGCGATTTCTATTCTTCTGATGACTAGTACTACTACTACTACTACTACTACTACTACTACTACTACTGCTGCTGCTGCTACTACTACTACTACTACTCGTATTCAATGTTACTTCTACTTCGACCTCTGCCCCTCATCCTTCTCCTCCTTCTCCTCCTCCTCCTGCTCCCCGTCCCCCTTCTCCCGCTATCACTACTACTACTACGATGGCTTATATAATAATAATAAGTATTATTCTTTATTCTTACCACTACTACTACTACAATTCCTATTCCTACAAGTTTTACTACTACGACGACGACTACTACTACTTTGCACAACTACTACGACTACTACTGCTAGTTATTCTACTATGGCTGCTACCACTACCATTACTAATACGACTGCTACCTCTACTTCTGCTACTACTACTACTTTTACTAACTACGGCTACTGGTGCTACGCCTTCGTAATATGCTTATTATTACTAGTATTATTACTACAACTACTACTCTTCCTTCTTCGACTACATCAAGGAATATTCGTGGTAGTAGCTACTACTACTACTACTACTACTACTACTACGACTACTACTACTACTACTACTACTACTACCACTACGACTACGACGACGACTACTACTACTACTACTACTACGACTGCTAATCGACTATTTACCACCACTACTACGACTATTGCTGCTGCTACTACTACTACTACAGCGACTACTACTAATATTACTTCTGCGACTCGCGCTATTGTTACGACTACTACTGCGGCTACTACTACTACTAGTACTACTACTACTACTACTACTACTACTACTACTACTACTACGACTCCGACGTCGACCACGACGACGACCACGACCACGACGACGGCGACGACGCATACTACTAGTACACGTACTACCACCGCCACTTCTACGTCTACTTTTACGGTTACTACACCTACAACGACTACTACCTTTACTACTACTACTACTACTACGACGGCGACTACTACTACTACTACTACTACTACTACTACTACTACTACTACTACTACTACAACTACCACTACCACTACTACTACGGCTACGACTACGGCTACTACTACTACTACTACTACCACTACTACTACTACTACTACTACTAGTACTACTACTACTACTATACTACTCTACTACTCGTACCCTTACTACTACTACTACTACTACTACTACCACTGCTACTACTACTACTACTACTACTACTACTACTACTACTACTACTAGTACTACTACTACTACTACTACTACTACTACTACTACTACTACTACTACTACTATAACGACTACGACTACTACCACTACTGCCACTACAACGACTACGACTACTAGCACTATTGCCACTACTACTACTACTACTACTACTACTACTACTTCTACTACTACTACTACTACTACGACCACCACCACTACTACTACTACTACTACTACTACTATTACTACGACTACTACTACTACTAGTACTAGTACTACCACTACTAGTACTACTACACCTACTACGACGCCTATTACTACTACTACTACTAGTACTACTACTACCTTTACTACTACTACGACTACTACTACTACTACTACTACTACTACTACCATTACTACTCCTACGACTACTGCTTCGACGATCATGTGGTTTATTACTGGTACTGGTTTTACCAGTACGACTAGTACTAGTACTAGTACTAGTACTAGTACTAGTACTAGTACTAGTACTACTACTAGTACTAGTACTACTACTACTACTTTACTATTACTACTACTACGACTACTATTAGTACTAGTACTAGTACTACCACTACTAGTACTACTACACCTACTACGACGACTATTACTACTACTACTACTACTACTACTACTACTACTACTACTACTACTACTACCATTACTACTCCTACGACTACTGCTTCGACGACCATGTGGTTTATTACTGGTACTGGTTTTACCAGTACGACTACTACTAGTACTAGTACTAGTACTAGTACTAGTACTACTACTACTACTACTAGTACTAGTACTAGTACTACTACTACTACTACTACTACTACTACTACTACTACTACTACGTCAACTACGTCTACCACGACTCCTCCTAC